GGTTCCGGGGGGGGGGGTCCCGAGGGTGCCCCCCGTTTCCCGGTTGCCCAAGAGCCTCAAGGAGGAGCAGGAATTGCTCCAGGAGGGAACTCCCCCGGCTGCCGGGCCGGGGCTGGCGGCGCTCCCCGTGTGCGGTTCCCCAGCCCGCAGCGCAGCCCTGCCGGGGCCGCCTCCCTCCCGCAGCGCTCCCTCCCGTCCCGGGCCGGCGGCGGGAGGACAGCGGGGCCGAACGGGATCCCTCAGCCCGGGGCTGCGGCGGGGAGGAGCCAGCGCCGCACCGAGCCCACAGCCCGCACCGCGCCGGGTCCCGCACCGGCACCGCGCCCGCACCGCCTCCGGCACCGCTCCAGCTCCGGCACCGCTTCTGCTCCGGTAACCGCTCCAACTCCTCCCAGCACCGGCTCCAGCACCGCTTCGACCCCTTCCGGTAGCGATCCCGGCACCGGCACCGCTCCGACCCCTTCCAGGACCAGCACCGACTCCCGCACCGGTACCGTTCCGGTGCTGGTACCACTCCAAACCCCCTCCGGTACCGGCCCCGCTCCCCACCTTCTCCGGCCCCGCTTCTGCCCCGGCACCGGCACCGCTCCGACCCCTTCCAGGACCAGCACCGGCAGCGTTCCGGTGCTGGTACCACTCCAAACCCCCTCCGGTACCGGCCCCGCTCCCCACCTTCTCCGGCCCCGCTTCTGCCCCGGCACCGGCACCGCTCCGACCCCTTCCAGGACCAGCACCGGCAGCGTTCCGGTGCTGGTACCACTCCAAACCCCCTCCGGTACCGGCCCCGCTCCCCACCTTCTCCGGCCCCGCTTCTGCCCCGGCACCGGCACCGCTCCGACCCCTTCCAGGACCAGCACCGGCAGCGTTCCGGTGCTGGTACCACTCCAAACCCCCTCCGGTACCGGCCCCGCTCCCCACCTTCTCCGGCCCCGCTTCTGCCCCGGCACCGGCACCGCTCCGACCCCTTCCAGGACCGGCACCGACTCCGGCACCGGCCCCGGTACCGCTCCGACCCCTTCCAGGACCAGCACCGACTCCCGCACCGGTACCGTTCCGGTGCTGGTACCACTCCAAACCCCCTCCGGTACCGGCCCCGCTCCCCACCTTCTCCGGCCCCGCTTCTGCTGCGGCCCCGGTACCGCTCCAGACCCCCTCCTGCCCCGGCCTCGCTTCTCCTCCGCCACCGGCAGCGGCCCCGCTCCCCCAGCCCCGTCCCCGGTGCGGCCCCGCGGCTCCCGGAGCGCCGCCCCCGCTCTTCCCCGGGACCCGGCGGCGGCGGCAGGAAGGAGGAAGGAGGGAGGGCGACCTGCTCGGCGGCCGGTGAGTCCTGGGAGGGGGGGTGAGACGGGGAGACGGGGCGGCGGGTTGGGGACCCCCCTGCCCTCCCCTCCGGCAGCCGGGTCGGGGGGTTTCGCTGCTTTTGGGGCTGTTTGGGGACTTTCTGAGGGGAGGGGATGGGTGAAGTTGGGGATGGG